AAATTCCACTGCAATATATAAAGGTTTTTTTTTTCAATATGCTTAATAACAACATTTGGGTCCCAGCAGAGGATAAGACCACCAATCAGCCCTATAGGGTCCACTGAAGCCATTCTATCTACATATCTCAATGTTCTAACAACCGATTTAACAAAAGCACTGTGTTTTCTTTTTCTTTTTCCTTTGGTTTCAAAGAGTAAAAGAAAAACTGGGTGATGAGTCCTAATTGACTCTCGAATTTAAGAAATTGTAAATGGCCCACCCAGTCCTCTCTGTAGCTAACATTTATCCTTTGGGTGCCACTCAAGGCTGACAACCCCCACCTTACTTGATTCTGCCTTGTGTTTTTTACTCTCAGCTTGCTTTGTGGTGTAGTCCTCCCTCTCTGGAGTGTCATGTCCAAGAGGCAGTCTAGCCCTTTTTTTGCTAGTTGTATGACCAACTGCCCTGGTATTATGAGATTCTCTTTGAAGTATACCTTCCTTGTTCCCAATCCTTTTCCAAGTTGTTTGTTTTCCTGAGTCATTCTTTTGAGTTAAGGACTCTTGAATTTGGGGCATCAGATGTTTCCCATGTGGAACCAAAACTTCAACTTCCATGGTATTTGAGATTACTAGAGGCCGCAAGTTAGAATCTGTCATTTCCTCAGCAGTGGTTTGAGTATGTTTATGAGAGGATAAAGAGTGAGTAGGTTCCAGCTTTGACTTTGGAGTTAGATAAGTGGAATCATAGGGAACTATTACAAGCTATTGTCTCTCCTGCACTTGACTCGAAGATGTTTTCTGAGTAGATCTGTCCTCATTGGACATTGGGTTTGTAGTTTGCAGGGAACTCCTAGACCCTGACAAGCTTACTTCTACCCAATTATGCCCATCTGCTGCTCTCAGTCAGTCTCCATATCGTCCTTTCTTGAGAGAATTGTTACTGATGTCATTCGATCTTTTAGAGCAGCCTTTGTCCAAATGCTCAATCAAACCACAATAGTGAAACAAGTTTACTAATTTTTCATATCTAGAGCTGACATTGACTAATTGATCAGCCAGCCGAATGTTAGCACATCGTGGAAGCGGATCGTCTAAATTTAGAGACACTAACAAGAGCAAAATTCATCCTCTGTGAATTTTTGAGCTCACTATAACAACATTCTTAACTTGCTTGAAGATCCGACCAATTTAGAGGGCCAATTCTGTACTGAGCCAGTTTAGTGACACATTTAATATCTGGACCCGTATGTGAAGCTCTTTGAAACAGGGATGCTTATTGGATAGGCATCTTTCCGTCATGAGAGAATAAGGTATTGGTTCTCATAGCTCCAGTTTGTACCACCTGCCACTTTTTGAAGGTCTTCTCGATTCTGGAAGATGAACTGGACGTAGTTTAGCCCATGCTCTTTAACTTCCATTGACTGAGTAAGTTTCCATATTTGATTAATCGCCCGCTTGACACCTATCCAACTAGATTTCCGGTCACCGACAATTTTCCCAAAGAAGCTTCGATGGCATTCATCAGCACTCAAGCGTTTGTCATCTGGACTATATCGATTACCATCGATTCTCTTTCAGAAAGAGAAAACCCCTTTAGTCTTTGAGATAATTCTTCATCTTGACTTGCCTAAATCGATCGTCCAATGATTTAAACCCCAGATACCAGAAGGGGCGGAGCCCAATTAATGCCGGAGGGGATCAGAAGAGAGAGAGGGTATATCGAAAATCAAATGAAGAAGGGTAAATACGCCGAAAACATAGAGATCTCAGGTCATTGACGCTCTCAGCCGAGAGAATTCAGAAGCCGCTCTCAAAGTGAGTTTTATGTTATTGTGCATTAAACATACCCAAGTTATTGATTATGAAATATAATTTATTTTTCTCTAGTTACAATCAAATCAAGTAGAAAACCACAAAACTATTTTTTTATTAATTTTTATTACATGCACACGCAAAGATCCAATTGTATATGTAACACATTTATTTTTTTTTTTAAGTACAAAAAGTTAATATCAATAATTAGTCATAAGAAAACTATTTATTTGAGTAAAGGTTATTATTATTTAATAGATATCGCTCTCCAAAATCTCATTAGGCAGGTGTAAGAGCGAGTTCTCCACTACTATGAATATCTGCAATTCTTAATAATCAAGAAAATCTATGATTCAACCATGTATATGATGTGTCAATATGAATTCTAAAAAGACATTATTTCAAATAGCACTGGGCGTGATTAGAATGATCAATATTTTAATAGATCCAATTGCTAAAAAAAGAGATATCATTTTTTATTTTGCAATTAAAAATAACTTTTTCAAAATTGCAATAATGTCTACGGATTTGATGTCTCGTTGCAAAACAAATCACTGAAACATGCATGTTGATGCGTTATCGTATGTGACAAAAATTGTCAACTTGTCAGTTTTCAATTGCAAAAAAAATACCAACTTTATAAAATTATACATTTAGCTTAACCTTTTTCATTTGTTGCAATTCGAATCACGAAGTAAGATGTATAATCTTGGATTATTGAAAGTTGCAATCGTGGTAAGTATTAATTGAGTCAATCTAAACAAAATTAATAGTTAAAGAAGACATGTTGCCATTCTAACTCATATATATCTTATTTTGTGACTGAAATTGCAATAAATAAAAATGTTTGACTTAATTTGTAATTGTTATTAAGTTTGTGATTTTGTATGGAAGTGAAAAATGACATGTTGGTATTTCTTTTTTATGTAGGATGACATGTTTTTCAAGTCTAAAAGATGTGATGACATGATTATGCAATTAAAAAATGACATGTTGGCATGTAAAAAGTTCTATTTTTTTGCTTAAAAGTTTGAAACTACATAAGATTTCCTTTGATGCCCTTTTTGTTAATAAAGCCGACAAATCCTGATATTCGAGAGAATCTTAATCTTCTTAAAATGATACTACAAATATATGTAGCTTCAATCATGTATATGATACTAGTATGAACCCCGTGCATCGATATTCATTGATACTTATAAATTAAAATTTTTTATTAAATATAATAATAATAACTTAAAATATGTAATCAATATGTAATACTCCTCTCCTCCCTATAGAATAAATAATTCGAATTATATAAGTTAAATAGCTTAAAAGTTTATTTCTTTTAACTGTGGATATTTATTAGTTTTAATTAAATATACTATTACACAAATCAAATGATACACTTTATTCCCCAAATTAGTGATTTAGGAATAATATTACCATAATAAATCAATCGGAATTACCTAAATTGTACCTTTAAGACATATCATAAGATGTTTAAATAATTTTCAGATTTAGTAAACAACATTTTGTTGGCGGGAAATAGTTACTATTTAAAAAATAATCAAACCTTTTTATATATACTAGTACATACCCTGTGCGATGCATGAGACAAAGATATTGAATGAGTTATTTTATCTTTTTTTTTTACTTCTTTTAATCAACGTTAAGTCTAAAAAACAATAGGGTTATAAGCTTCTTTCCACATATTTTAACCAACATTGTTTTTTTAGCCAGAACCTTAAATATGAGCAAGTTAGGGTTAGCTTGTAAAATAATTAATGTATTATTTCACTAAAACATTTATACTAATAAAAATGTAATTTTAGCATATAAATATATCCCTTGATATAAGAGAAAGTAACAGTTTTACTTATTCTTGTTCACCATATAATATTTGATTATTATTTTATTAATAATAAAAAAATATACTGTTAAATAGTGTAGTAGAATTATTATAAAATTATATGATTTTTTATTACAATATGGATATAGTATCTTTTTATGATTTGATAATATAACTATAATATATTCTTTATAATATAATAATATGAGATACGGATTTACATAATACTATGGATTTATTCTTAATGTTAAGATATTAAATTAGATAATATATGATTCACTAATTTGTAATCTGTCTCTTTTTATATTGAAAATGTTCATGTGATTGGGTAGAGATAACAATTATCTATAAATTCCTTCATTTAAGAACTAATTTTTAAATTGGTCCAAGTGTTGAATGCAGCCGATTTTCTTGTAACTAAAATGAGAAGAGATTTTGAATTTCATATTCAGTTTAATATCTGTCGAATTTTTCAAAAATAAATTCAACAAAATCCATAACTTTAGGGGCATTAAATGCTACCCTATTTAATGATTTAAAAAATCTAAAAACTTTCTAAATATGGTGTGTAATTAATCATGAGTTGACTTTTCTTCCTACTAATTCTAGTAAAATGGATGACTTTTTATATAAGTATAGATATAGATATGAATATGAATTTTGTTAAGATATCATTTTAAACAATATTAAATGTCACTTGAATTATTAATAACAAAATAATAACAAGAAAGATTATATTGAAGGTTGATATCGACCATATCACAATAACATAATAGTTTACATGATACACACGAGGCACGATCTTGTAGTTTTTACTTTTTACCTTCCACACCATCTTTAAAATAAGTAACTTAATCATATAACTCTACATCACGCCAACAATTATGTAGAGCGGTATATCAATATTTCTCCAATGTCAAAAGCATCACTTTCCAAAAGCATCACTTTCCTTATTGGTATGTTAATATTTCTCCAATGTTAAAAGCATTTGATGCCGCTTAAGTAAGGTCTCGGGTTCGAGTCCTTGTGGATGCAGAAAACCCTTGTTGGGAGACTCACCCACCACTGCCAGGTGTGCGACCTGGGTCGACCAACGAGTTAGTCGGGGCATAGTTCCGGATACCGTAGCAGGCTAACAAAAAAAAAAAGCAGCACTTTCCTTATTGGTATATCAATATTTCTCCAATGTCAAAAGCATCATTTTCCTTAATATAGTTGCTTCACCCTCACCATATTCCTATAGTTTATAAATACATGCAGTTCAAGGGTTGAGAAAGGCACACCAGTAGCATCGTACACTCATAAAAAAATAAATAATAATAAAAAAAACACGCACACAACTAGTTTAATTTAACTCAAAATCCAATACTATGGCTCTTCCCCTTAATTTATTTTACACACTCATACCCATAATCCTCTTCTCGCTCCTCCTCCTCCTCGCTGTTGTGTCGTCGGGCCTCGACGACAACAAAGCTGAAATTTACATCGTCCACGTGAAGAAGAAGAACCCAAGCTTGACCGGTGGTGCCGAAACCGAAGACACTATCAAGAACTATCACATGTCTTTTCTTCCCCAGGGATCTAAAGACTCCCTGATCTACTCGTACATGTACGCCATAAGTGGATTCTCAGCAAGACTAACAGCCAAACAAGTCGAAATCATCAAGGAGAAAGAAGGCTTTATCTCGATCCTCCCAGACAGTACATCCCATCTGCTGACGACCCGTTCCCCAGCATTCCTCGGGCTGAACCAGTGGAGCGGAGCCTGGCCGCGGATGGGTCTTGGTGATGGAGTTGTCGTCGGGCTCATTGACGGCGGGATAGCCCCAGGCCACCCCTCGTTCAATGGCTCCGGCATGTCGCCCCAGCCTGTCAGCTGGAAGGGGAGGTGCGACCTTCCTGAGAAGTTTGGTTGCAACAACAAAGTCATAGGCGCTCGGGCATTCAAAGGGGGAAACACCTCCGTCTTGCCGGTGGACAGGTACGGACACGGGACCCACACGGCCAGCATAGCCGTCGGGGCGTTCGTTCCCAACGTCAGCGTCCAAGGCAACGCTGCCGGGACCGCGTCCGGGATGGCCCCACGCGCTCACCTAGCGGCGTACAAAGTCTGCTTTGCTGGTGACTGCCAAGCGAGCGACACGCTGGCCGGTATCGACGCCGCCATCGAGGATGGGGTGAACTTGTTGTCCATATCCTTGGGCGGTATGTTCAAACCATTTTATGAAAGTGTTATAGCGATGGGGAGTTTCGCGGCTGCCAAGAAAGGAATCCTCACGAGCGTGGCCGCAGGGAATGATGGTCCTTCTGCCTCGACGGTGGTCAATGATGCGCCTTGGCTTCTCACCGTTGGGGCAAGCACGATCGATCGAAGGATTCGGGCCACGGCGAAGATGGGAAATGGGTTGGCGTTTGACGGGGAGTCTGTTTTCCAGCCCAAAAACTTCTCTTCTCAAAACTTCTTACAACTCGTCTACTACAACACGTGCTACAATGGGTCGCTGGCCGGGTTCGACGTCAGGAACAAGATTGTGTTGTGCGACGGAGATTCTATAACTTCATCAGCCGATGAAGTTAAGAATGCCGGTGGCGCCGCCATGATACTGGCCAATACTGAAGATGCCGGGTTTAGCCACGAGTCTTATCTCGTCGACTTACCATCCACGACGGTGTCCTTTATTGCTGGCCAGGAAATCAAGGCCTACATAACGTCAACATCCTCCCCGACGGCAACAATATCGTTTGAGGGGACGGAGCTCGGTAACCCGATTTCTCCAGTAGTCTCTTATTCCTCGTCCAGGGGGCCTAGCGGGCAAGCTCCTGGGGTTTTGAAACCGGATATCATTGGGCCGGGCGAAAACATTCTTGCTGGGTGGTCTCCTCTGAACCCGAATAATTTAGGGATCATATTTGCAATCGATTCGGGCACGTCGATGGCATGTCCTCACATCAGTGGGGTCGCGTCCCTGATGAAGAGCGCCCACCCCGACTGGTCGGCAGCGGCCATAAAATCAGCTATCATGACCACTGCGTACCTCGTCAACGCCCACGGTAAACCGATTCTCGACGAGAAACTTTCTCCGGCCAATATCTACGCGACAGGGGCTGGCCACATCAACCCAAACAGGGCGTTAGATCCCGGTTTGGTCTACGACATTGCAATGGATGAGTACGTCCCGTTTCTGTGCGGCTTGGGATACACGGAGAGCCAGGTCGAGATGATCACGCAGGAGCCAGTCAATTGCTCGTCGAAAATCCCTCAGGGCCAGCTGAACTACCCCACGTTTTCGGCTTTGCTCGGCTCGCCCCAGAATTTCTCCCGGACCGTCACCAACGTAGGCGAGCCCGTATCGTGTTACTCCGTGAGCATAGTCAAGCCCCTGGGTGTGAATGTTATCGTGAGGCCATCGAGGATGTGTTTCACGAGGTTGGGGCAGAAGGCGACATACAACGTGACGTTTTGCCGCAGCAAGAACGTGACCGGTTGGGGGAATAATGAATCTATTGCACAAGGCTTCTTGCTCTGGGAATCAGGAAAGTACAGAGTCAGGAGTGTTGTAGCAATCAACATCACTGGAAAAGCCTTCTAATTTTACCTGCTATGAACTCTTATTGAACAAGAATAGTGTTCTGCTTTATGTATGTCACCTTTTGAATAAAAGAAGTCAAAACACGAATAAAATTCACCTCAAGAATGTAATAAATAGGGGGATTGGATTTCCCTTTATATATATGTCTTCCTATCCTACTCTACTGAACAACACTTATATACTATTTACTACCAATGTGGGATACTTAAGAATATGAGAAGAAATGCCAGAAAACTGCTAACTTAGAGCATGTAAAATAATAAAAGCAAGCATAATTCTTCTTTCCTTTTAAAATCAATATAGGACCAGATGCACAATACATCTGTCAATTTGGCCGTCCAATATTTAAAACACATGTCATTTCCAATTAAAAATAATAATAATAATGACAAATTTATGTGTTTCTATTGGCAATTGACCAAAAATATATGCATAAATGTCCTATTTATATTTATATTATTTATTACTATATTATATTTTATAATAAAATATATTGTTACACCCCCAATATTTAAACTATATTATTATGAATATTATTATTATCATTATTGGTATTATTATTATTATTATTATTATTATTATTAATTATTACAATTAATTATGGTTAATATTAAATATTTGTAAAAATATTATTGAGACAAGTAAAATATTTATAAATCTTAAAGTGTTTTGGATATAATAATTATTTTACAAATCATTGTAGTCTCAGCCCAAATGAGCAAACAAGGCCAAAGACCACAAAAATCGCTCCTCAGTCGGCCCATTCGATTACCGCTAGGGTTGGCAATCGCTCGATCGGCACGGCGATCACCCTCAATGATTTCTCGGAGAAGATTCCGATTGCTCTGACCGCATGTGCGCCCTCTAACAAACCTGATAGCATCGTCGTATTTTTTCACATCCTCAATGATATAGCCCTATTATCATAGTCCGGTTCAGATGTGGGTTACTCGACCGGATGAGCATTAATGACGACGTCAGCAAGTCGACTTCCTTGAAGTCGATTGGGTTCATCGGCTAACCAAGAATCGCCATCAATCCGATAGCGGCTCCAAGACGATTCTCTTAAGTCGACTTTCCTCAAGAAAACGAACGGGCACAACATAGTCTCCAGACGCGCAAGTGACCAAAGTCGACTCGACAATGCCCGAAGTCGACTTATCACACCTCGAGACACCAAGACCTCCAACAACTTCTATATACAACATATCTTAGGAAAACCTCCAAGCAAGAGTGAATCTACTTAGGATGAAAAGGAATCTAGATGTTGACTAGGAGGTGGACGGAATGTGAACCGACCAGGGCATTTTGGACACTTCGCGTAAGTCGGCCAGGACATTTTGGGAACTTCAGGTAAGTGTTTTGCCCCTATATGAAGGAGCTAAGGTAACTCCAAACCCTAACTTTCATTCTCTCTATTTATTGCCCAACTGCTGCTCCTACTGAGCAGAGCTCATCTTCATCACTCTCATACTGACTTGAGCGTCGGAGGCTCTTCACCGAAAACACTTCCGGTTTTGAGTTCTTGCAGGTGTCCGTTGCAATTCGGAGACAATTTAATGCGGTTCAAGCAGATCGGAGCTCATTTCCACTGGTCACTCCAGATCTAAGAGGAGACCCATCAAATTGGCGCCGTCTGTGGGGAGTTCTTAAGGGAAACAAGAGCTTTGCACCTGGTTCAGATCTGTTTGGAGATGGCGGAGAAAGAAGGACTGTAGAGGAATCTAAGCGAGGATTTTAGGGGAACATGGACGGACAAGCGGCCTCCACCGATTCCTAACCCTTAACCGACGCTGCCAATTTTTGGCTTTCCACCATTCGCTGGGCACGCGCCGTCGGGAGCGCGTATGGAAGAAGAAACACCTATTACCCCACCTGGGGTGAAAATCCCAGTGCTCACACAAGGAGGACCCAGTCACGTGAAGGGCGCGAGTACGGGAGTCGATGGGCAGGAATCAATTGAGACGTCTTTAAGCTTGGGGAGGCAGCCTAGAGTGTTGGAGCAAGGGACAAGGCCATTTCTCCAATTCGAGGAGCAGACACTGACGATGGCGAAGAGCGAGATGCAAAAGATGATTGCGGAAGCGGTGGAGGCCCAACTCAAACAGGCGCAGGTCGAACAACCTAGAGTCGAGCAGCCTAGGGTCGAGCAACAAGCGCAGTCCCATGAGAGGCAGAGCAGGAGGGCGGATGAGGAAGAGTCCTCTGTGAGAACCATTAATCCACAAGTAAAGAATGATACTTTGGAACAGCTGATGGCCCAAGTTCAAGATTTGCAGGCTCGAGTGGAGGAAAGGAAAACTGGAAGTTCAATAGGACACCCTTTCTCACAGCATATCTTGGATGCCGATTTTCCACAGGGGTTTAGAGAGCTGAATATTTGGTATGATGGGTCGACTGATCCTTCTCGACATCTGCGGAGTTTTGAGAATATGACAGTTCTGCATCGTTACAACGATCCTGTTCAATGTCAAGCATTCTTAACGACCCTGCGGGGACCTGCACAAGACTGGTTCCACCGATTGCCTCCAGGAGCCATCAGAAAATTTGATGGATTTAGCTCGAGTTTCTTGAACCAATTTGCAAGTGTGAAAGCCCAGGAGAAATCTTACCTTACCTTGATAGGTATGCAGCAAAAAGAAGGAGAGTCGCTGCGAGATTATGTGGCGAGGTATACATGAGCTTGTGTCGAAGTGCCCTCAGCCACAGAAGAAATCAAGTCGGGAGGATTGACCAGGGGACTGCTACCAGGTTTATGCAGGAATTCTCTAGCGAAGCGACCTGGTTGGACGTTCGATGAAGTGTTGGGAAGATGTGCCAAATACATGAATGCCAAGGAGGCGGAAGCCAACTTCTTGCAAGCAGTAAAGGCGAAAATCGAACCCCGAGACGAAAAGAAAGACAAAAAATCAAACCCGTCGGGAGACATGAGAGGATCCCCGAGAGCAGATAGGGATGATCTAGGAGATAGAGGCCAACTCAATACACTCCTTTTGTCGGCCCCCCAAGCGAGGATATTGGAGGTGATGGAAAAGGAGATCCTTGACAATGTCGTTAGATGACCCAAGACGAGGAAGGATGGACCAACGAAGCCCAAGAGTAACCTGTATTGTCGATTCCACAAGGATTATGGGCACAACACCGACAATTGCAGACATCTCAAAGACGAAATTGAAAGACTAATAAAGGCAGGGATTCTGAAGGAGTTTATCTATAAGGATCGAGAAAGGACCAGTCGGCGAAGAGAAAGAAGCCGAAGTCCTCACAAGAGGGCGAGAACACCTGAGAAGGAGGAGCTTCCCCAGAAGAGAGGAGTGATCACATGATATTTGGCGGACCAACTGACAGAGATTCAAATTGTGCCAGAAAGGCGTATGCTCGCGGTCGACATGCGACAACCGAGATACAACAAGTGGACGATAACGGCCAGTGATGAACTTTGGGCCAGCAGATGTGGGTGAAGTCGAGAGACCGCACAGTGATGCGTTGATGATAACTGCCCAAATGTCGGGCTATGAAGTGCAGAGAGTATTTGTCGACACTGGGAGCTTGGTGAATGTGATCTTTTATGATTGTCTCAAGAGGATGGAGCTCGACATACAACTCACACCCCTGCACACCTCGCTATTCAGATTCAATGGTTCGGAGGTCACGCCCCTAGGAGAGACTATGCTCGCTGTCGTCTTAGGGGAGGGCGACTTGAGGAAGGTGAAAATGGTCAGATTCATAGTAGTTGATGTCGAATCGGCTTATAACGTGATTCTGGGGAGGCCAACTCTTAATGTATTTCAGGCCGTAGTATCTTACCATATGAAGATAATATTCCCTGTCGGAGATCGAGTTGGAGAGGCTCGAGGCGATCAAAAGCTATCAAGAACTTGTTATCAAATTGCGGTGAAAACTAACAAGCGAGCCAAAATCAGAGATGGAAAAAAGCTGATGATGAGTGAAAAGAGGCCGAGGGGAAGTGACCTCGAGCCACATGGAGAATTACTAGAGATCCAAAATCGGGGAGAGGGAGGACCAAACCACCAAAGTTATGAGAGAGTTGGAGGATGAGTTGCACAGACAATTGGTGGAGTTGTTGAAGGAATTCAGGGACATATTTGCCTTTTCCCCTAAAGGATTGACGGGAATCAGCCCAGAGATAATGAAGCACAAACTCAATGTCGACCCCTCAAAAAACCTGTAAAGCAGCAACTCAGGCGTCATGGAGCTGAGATCGACAAAGCAATCAAAGTCGAGATAGATAAGCTGCTGAAAGCTAAACATATCAAGGAAATCCAATTCCCTGAATGGATATCGAACACGGTGATGGTAAGAAAGGCACTAATCAAATGGCGCATGTGCATCGACTTTCGTGATTTGAACTTGGCATGCCCCAAAGATCATTATCCATTACCAAGAATTGATCATCTAGTCCACTCCACGGCTGGCTGCGAACTGCTGAGTATGATGGACGCATCTCAAGGGTATCATCAGATTCCCTTGGCCCCCGAGGACCAGAGTAAAGTGAGCTTTGTGACGACCAAAGGGACGTATTGTTATGTCGTCATGCCCTTCGGACTCAAGAATGAAGGATCAACCTACCAACGATTGATGGATCGCATGTTTAAACCCCAGATCGGGCGAAATAGGGAAGTATCTGTTGACGACATTTTAGTGAAGAGTAAGTCCTCGACTTCACACCCAGACAATATAAGGGAAACATTTAAGACCCTTAGAGCGTTTGGGATGAAGTTGAACCCGAGCAAATGCGCCTTTGGAGTAAAGGCAGGGCGGTTTTTGGGATACGTTGTCACGGACCGAGGAATCGAGGTAAATAAGAAAAAGGTGAAGGCTATACTCGACATGGCCCCACCACAGAATATCAGGGAGGCGCAAGTCCTAACCGGTTGAATCGCTGGCCTAAGCAGGTTCATTGCTCGACCTGCGGTGAAAAGTTTCTCATTCTTTAAATTACTCAAGAAGAAGTCGCGTTTCGTGTGGAGTGAGGAAGC